GTTAATTAATCCCAGTCTTGTTCCAACATTTGTCTTGAAATCTCTGACTACGGTGAATTTGCCATAAGCTAGGTTATTTAAAAACATTAAAGCTGAAATAAGTAAGTACTGAGGCAGTAAGTATGTCCATAAAGTTTTTTTTTTCATTTAGAAAGCCTTTGACTGTTACCTTGTCATGCCTAAGGGTGTTTTGTGGAAACTGTTTCGTTTTTATCCTCACTATGAGTTCTTTTGATTCTTTAAACCCATTGAACTTTTCATTGATTTTAAAATACATTTTATAAGTTTTTTTTTTATATTTATATTGTTTTATCTCAAGAACGCACACCGGTAGTAATTATTCATTAACATGTTTAGATTGTTGATATTAAAGCTCATGTAAAACTAAGGAGGTAAGGGAAACAAGTTAAAAAAATGATTTTAAACTGTTTCTGTATACGCAAATAAACTGATTAAAGATGTATTTTTTTTTTTTATTTATACATGTTTACAATATCTATTCCTTTTTAATGCTTCGTATTATTTGTTGCCTAGTTATTTGGTTTTGATCATGGCGTAATGACTCTCATTTTTATTTATATGATTTTATAGTTGTGAAAGAATTAATGTTTCCAACTATCAATACTATTATGTAAGTTCAAAAATAATTTTAGTGAATACTGTTATTGTTATCTAGTATACTAGGACTCACTAAGTTTGCTGCATATATAGATAGATCCCATGAAATGACTCTAAAAACTGAATTGATTTTTAATTGTGTTAAAATTATGGATTTATTGAGAAAGTTTAAGTCAAATGTATGTTTAATCCTTAACCATAGCAACAATTTGCAGTTTCAAACTTTCCAAAGTAGGCTCTACTTGTTTCTAAGTTTTCTTATATAAGGTTGTTACTGCCTTTATTGCAAAACTTTGATATAACTAACTTATAACCACTCCTAATTGATGTATTACTGCACCAACATTACAGAATATGCTTCTATTCTCAGAGGGGTGATTTTTTCAATTTAACCACAGACAAGGGAATAGCTATGTTACAAACAAGTTATTCTCTTGTTTACGATTCAATAGTTAACATGGCTTAAACTTTTTTAATGTACGCCGCACTACACTGTTTTAACGAACTTGACACGCAAGGATTTATTCCAGAAAACAGCTGTTTGCCGCCAATGGGTTTCATTGCGTACTACTGTAGTACTGTAATGAGATTTTACCGGACACCAACCAGCTGATTATATTTGGCAATAGTATATTACGTTACTAGTCCTGAAAATAAGTGTTTACCGGACGAGTGTGGTCGTTCCCGTGCGAGACGAAGTCGAGTACGGGATTACCATACGAGTCCGGTACACACATTTTGGACGAGTTACGTACGATAGTTTACGCAATACTACTAAACCCGTACAAATCCTTATTTTCACCAACTAAAGGACTAAAAATCACTAGTCATAACCTCTCGTCATAACCTCTAAGAGAGGTTATGTTTTTGTTTATAACTACTCACTGCCACCTAAATACAGTATAATCAGCTGATTGGTGTCCGGCAAAACTCATTGCAGCACAGTAGTACGCAATGAAACCCCATTTGAATAAGCTGGTGGCAAACAGCTGTTTTCTGGACTAATTCCTTGCGTGGGAAGTTCGTCAAAATAATGTAGTGTGGCGTAAAGAGTGTTTATAGACAAAAACATAACCTCTCTTGGAGGTTATGAGTAGTGATTGTTAGTCATTTAGTCGATGGGAATATACAGGGAGCGGCAGAAATATCTGACGGTTTTCAAGCGAGTACCGTCCGGCAGCCAAGTGGAGGAGGGTGGTGGGGAGCGGCTCATTCTCAAGGCCAAGTGAGACAAATTTTAGTCGCCATAGAGCAGTGGACCGGTATACATCGCGCGTTTGTCGTTGAGGCGTATTTTAAAAATGGCGATTTTGTTGTTGATAGCAACGTAAGTTTCGTAGGCATTTTAATGTGGCTCGTGGGGAACCTATCCCATCCCGAAACACTATCGGATACCTTTAGATCCACAGGATCAACTGCAAAACGTAGGCCTACAGGCCGTCCAAGGTCAGTGAGGACGCCGGAGAACGTGGAGCGAGTGCGACAAACTGTGCTAACGAGCCCGCATCGCCCGGCGCGTGGACAAGCTGCTGCTCATGGCATGTCTGAGCGCTCTATTCGACAAATTTTGCTGAAGTTGTTGGACGATTGCTATTTTATATGGGTGAAAGTGAAGGTCTGAGTGCAAAATTCGTCGAGTAGAGCGCTCAGACATGCCATGAGCAGCAGGTTTTGTCCACGCGCCGGGCGATGCGGGCTCGTTAGCACAGTTTGTCGCACTCGCTCCACGTTCTCCGGCGTCCTCACTGACCTTGGACGGCCTGTAGGCCTACGTTTTGCAGTTGATCCTGTGGATCTAAAGGTATCCGATTGTGTTTCGGGATGGGATAGGTTCCCCACGAGCCACATTAAAATGCCTACGAAACTTACGTTGCGTATCAACAACAAAATTGCCATTTTTAAAATACGCCTCAACTACAAACGAGCGATGTATACCGGTCCACTGCTCTATGGCGACTAAAATTGTCTCACTTGGCCTTGAGAATGAGCCGCTCCCCACCACCCTCCTCCACTTGGCTGCCGGACGGTACTCGCTTGAAAACCGTCAGATATTTCTGCCGCTCCCTGTATAAGGAACTGTACAGATTTTTTTTATTTTCAAGTTAGCTTATACGGCTTAGTTTAGTATGGCGTAAAATATCGTAGGCCTACGTCACTCATCCAAAATTTGTTTACCATAGTCTCAATAATCCCGACCATACTAGTCCAGTAAACACCTATTTTCAGGACTAGTAACGTTATACGTAATATACTATTAGGCCTACTTTATAATCCCTGCAAGTATTTTTTTTTCATAACGTATATCCCGTATGCACAGTTGGTTTGATATAATCTAAAATGTTTACAAAATTGTTTTTTTTTTAATTAACTTTAAACAAAATCATCCACCACTAAATAAAAAAGTTCATCTTTAAAAACTAAAAAAAAAACACTCCGATCTAAACTTAACACAGAACTAAAAGTGCTTGCTAAAGGGAAGGAAAATCATAGATAAGACTCTCGAGCTAAATAAATATTTATTGTCAGCTGTTAAAAGAAGAGCTCTTAAAAGTTATCGTTGAGCTGAAGCTGTGAATCCCTTTCAGATACTTTTTCATTTAGGACAAGATTTATTGCCGGACGTTCAGAGAGCTAAAGCTTTTTTATTGGATGTTGTTTGGCATGAAATACACACTGTAAAATTTATAGAAAAGTTAATTGTGGTATCTGTTGACGTTCAATACAACAATGAATGTGTTGTTTTTCCTCCTATTACAAAAACAAGAGTTAAGTGGGAGCCCTGTGTAGAAGATCACTGGAGAAAATAATTAAAAATCCCAGCATCACTGACACAAGATCAATTAAGTCAACCATTTGAAAGAATCTTTTTTGTTACCAAATTATAGTTGTGCATTGTGTCATTAAGCTGGATTGTCCATGGTTTAAGTTGTTAAAAACATCATTTTATTTAGACTAGAGGTCGTCTAGTGGAAAATAATGAAATACAGTTAAATGATAAATTCTTTAGTTCTTCAGGCAAAGTTAGGGCCACATGGCCGTTTCTTACACTATGTAATGTACAGTGTAAGCCCCACACTGTAAATAAAATGCGTGATTGGAATTTGTTTGATATTTCGTTGTTATTTCGTTACCATCATGGCAACCCATAAGGCTCATGTAAATTTTTTTAAGTTTTCAAATTAATTTTGTTGTGTTTTTTTTAACCTATTTTAATTTATAAAGGTATTTTGCACATCTAAAGGCTAATATCTTTCTAACAGTATGCATAGATTTTCCCTGCAATGCACACGAGCTGAGAAAAAAGGGTTTTAAAGAAACATGCTTGCCTATTAATACATAGAGAATAACTATTAATTGTAAACAAATTGAAACACTTTTAGTTATTGCTGACATAAAAAATGTTAAATTAAGTTAGGCATCATAGATGATATCGATGCAAGCCAAAATTAAGCATTTCTGAATTCTGAGTGAAAGGAATAAGTACGGCAACCATTAACAAAAATCCACAAGATTTTAGGGGCTTGGCCCACTTTCCATTAAAACTGCTACTGATTCTTGCATACAACATATCATTTATGTGGGCTCAACCTATAACTTATGCCCCTATAGGTTCAATTCAAAATGTCAGCATCTTATGCTAAACAATTACTACCATATATCACTTTTATTTATTAAATTCCACTTGGATTCCAGATTTTCAGATTTGAAGAATTGTGACACGTTTAATATAATTTACATGTAATAAAATGTTTTTATTGATTAAATATGATATTTTATTTTGGTAGACTCAATAGCATGAGCAAAGTAAAACATAGAGTGATTACATATCACAATGTGTTCAGGTACATGGATACCACCAGTATACAGAGAGTAATACCACTACTAGAGAGTAGCTCCAAATATATAAAAACATAATCACTGGATTAATTAAGAATTCCTTTGGATGAGTAAAGGGTTAAGAGACCCCCTCCTGCCAAGTGACATACAAGCTCTTGGCCAAACTGTCCTTTTCAGGGCCTTTTATCACTCTTTTGTAAGTGCTGTATTACAGTAAAGAGACAGATTTTTAACAGACTCTGTATCAAGCTTTAAATCTTGCTGTATCTGTAAACTTTAACTGGTAGGATTAAAAATGAATTGCTTACATAAATTGGTATGTGCTAAGAAAAAAAAATTCTTTATAGCCTATAGTTATTTAAATCTCAATAATACTGTATTTCAAAACATTTTGTGGACAGGGTTGTGTTTAGAAAAATATAACTTTAAAAGTTTTCCTAAAATTTTATTAGTAAACAATTTTGGAAAATGTTTACAAACCACACCAAAATTAAAAACTAAAAGTATTTGATATTCTGATATTCAAATTCAAAAATATTCAAGAACGCTGTTTACATTCCACTTTAAGTCTAATCACTCAAATTTTTCTATTCTCTCTTCGCTCCATCTCTTGACAAAACCGTTCCAGCTCCTAGAAATACAAATAAATATTAAAAATATTTACTAATAAGTTCCACATAAGAAATAGTAAATATGTATTTATCAAAAGCTACAATATACAGTATAAGAGCAGAATAATGAGTCAATATTCTGATTTTATACTGTATATGACTATGTTTTTATGGTGAGCTTTTTTATTCAAATAGTGGTAAAATCCAAATTTACTCAAGTTTACCAAGTTTATAAAACTAATAAGGTAAACATATTTTCACGTAATAATTTTTAATTGAAAAAATAGACAATTTTGATACTGCATGATGAACAATAAAATTCATTATTATGTACTACGCTATTACCTGATCTTTCTGTCTCCTCAGGGAATCAACCAAAGGCTCTCTAAAGCTGGAGTCATTGGCCGGATCATCTCCAGCTGAAGTCTTCAAGGTGTTTTCATTCTGAGGAAAGTGTGTAGTGAAAACATGACGGACCTTATCCAAAGACGCCTTAGTAGCGCCAACACCTTCAATACTTTCCAGCAAATCTGACCCACTTGGGATACATATCGGTTTGTTGTAGTCTTGACAAACCGTTTTCATAGGTGGAGCACCAAACCCCAAGTGATTCAGTGCATCCTTGACTCTTTTGGCGAGGGCAGCATCTTTACTACTATAAAACACCAAAGTGGCACAAAGTATGTGTGATATGTAACGTAAACATCGGCAGACAATCTTTTTTCGCTCAGGCTCTTTTTCTTGAAACAAATCATACTTTCCCCCAATGATTAGGAGAGGGACGGGGAAAGGCTCTAAGATGGCAGCGTCTGGATGGTCACTAGTCTCTCGGGGCTCACGGAGAGGAGCAATGTTTTTCTTTATGCTGTTGAGCAAAGTCTCCAAAGTTACCCAAAGTTTGTCTAGCTCGGAGAGATCCAGCATCACAACGACCCCAAGAGGTCCATTGCCTGTGAGAGAAGCTGCATTCTCTATCACAGATGTGAACAAAGTACCTCCGCCCAACTCCCATATGTGACAGACATCTTTGACCTAAAAAATTAAATTAAGTATTTTATCATGTATATATAAATGAACTATTTTAATATTTTGTAAAAAATGTGTACATAGATGATTTTGATCAAAATATATATTCACTATTGGTAGTGCTGAATAATGCAGATAATGATTCTTATAATTTAAAAAAATATTCAAAATTCAACAGAATTAAACTCTCTAAATCAATTATCGCACTTAGTATCTCCAAATGAACGCTTGTACAAATCAAATTAATAAAATACTTTTCTAATTTAAAAATTGAAACATCCAGAAAAATTTGCCCCAAAACAAACAAGACAACAACCAAACAAAGACACAATAAAATATTATTGTAAACAGCCCCAGTTAAAATTCTAATTTAAATTTGAAGAGTATAAAAAGTCTACAAAACAGAACAGAAACTAAAGTGAATTTTGACATGAACACTTATCTAAATTTTATCCTTACTTACAAGACTATGGCTTCCTATTTTTCTTGCAAATGTATATTCCAAGCTAAGTGTTTTCTTGGCTGGTTCATTTCTGTCCAGGAATCGATTAATCAAAGTTGTTTTGCCCTGAAATGTATACATATCTTATATTACTAAAAAACTTTAGAAAAATTTACCTCAGCTAGCTTGGTTTTTATACTAGACTGAATTACACTCGGTTGGTACCAAATGAAAGATATTTTCCTGTAGATATGCAGAATTCCTTTATAAATTAAAATAGGCTCAAAAATAAGCACGAAAAATGAATTTGAAAAAAAAAAATAACAATGGGCCTTATGGGTTGCTATGCTGGTGACTGTTAAATGTATAATATAAAAATAAAATGTTTGTGTACCTAACACTATGGTGTAGTGGTGTTGCTTGCCTGTGCTGGAAATGGACAGCTGTTGTGAACTTGTTGGAATAACAATAGAACAATTTAAATGGTGTAAATAAACTATTAGTAAAATGTGTGTTTAGGAATATTGTGATAATTTTTGTAAATAATAATTTTGTTTCATATTGTAAAATAAAATGAGTATTTATTTATTTAACTGTAAAAAGTAAGAAACTCTTCAGTGACCAAATAACAACAAAACATAAACAGAAAATCAAAAAATTTGAGGAAATTCTAATCACATGTTTTATTTACAGCGTAGTGTGAAAATAGAGAAGTTTGCTCAATACATACTTTTGGTCAGTTTTCGATCACGGGTTGAGCTCTCGTAATTAAACTATCTTATGAATATACTTGATAATGAATATACTTGATAAAGAAAGGTTTACCTGATGTCAACTTGTTTACATAATGTATGTGAAGGTTATTTACACACACCCAAAATGAAAATTAGAAAGAACCTTACTCCTTTGTACTATATTATCAGATATGTTCATGTTAGATAGATAGTTTATTGCTTATTAGAAAAAAGGGAGGAAAAGCTCATTTATTAAGTCTCTGAATGAACACTGGAGGCTGAAAGACATTTTTTTCAAGCCATCTCCTCCTTCCATAGGTCTAAATTGAACAAAATTGTCAACTGAAAATGATAGCAAAGATCAAATTATTAGGCATGACAGGTGTGTTTGGGGAAAATGCTAAATATCAATTTGACAGACAAACTGGTTTTAAGATGAAGTATTTTCAAGCAAAGAATCTTGTACATTTGCAGCCCACAACTAACTGAGCCAGGGCCGTCTGAAGGAGGGGGCAACCGGGACAAGCTGCCTCGGGCGCCGTGGCTGAGGGGGCGCCGCGCAGCGGCTATTTGTATTAAAATTGTATTAAAATATGCGAATGCGACTATTACTGATGGGCGGGAGGGGGCTCCACGACCACGTTTGCTCCGGGCGCCGCCAACCCTAGGGACGGCCCTGAACTGAGCTAAAAAATAAGTTTTTTTTTTTTATCAGCAAGTAATACATGATTTCTCTACATTGCTTTAGCATAATGCTCAAACACGAATAAAAGTGATAGATTATTGAAAATTTTTTACTAGGGACATGGAGTGCATCATCAGTTTTAATACTTACAACACAGTTTGATCCAACAAATAATAGCGTCTTTTGAAGTTGACCCTTCAAATTGACATTTTGGTGAGCTTGTTTTTTAGCCAATAATGTTGCAGATTCTTTAAGATTCCTGGAACAGTTATCTCATCTATAATATTAAAACGAAACAGTGTTTTTTTATTTCACGATTCTGAATCAACCACTCGACGGATTTACATGATTTTTGTGTTGAAAGAAAGATAATTTTGAGAACTAGGGAATGTCGAAGCCATAATTTTAGTTTTGGGTCCCAGTTTTTTAGAAATTAAGTTTTAATTTTTAAAAAGTCTAGCAGCCGACGCTAAGATTCTAAACTAGCTTTCGGCATAAAATAATTTGCTTAAAATAACAGCTGTAAACATTCAGCTTTTGTGTCACAAATTCAGCATTTGGATAAAAATGTAAAGACATACTTAGCGTTGACTTATTTATACTATGTGTAATGCTAATCATTGATACGATCAATTCTACTGTAAGAGGATGACAGATTAATTAAATATACATAGTAAAATACTAGGATGTTCAAAAAAATTTTTAAAGCAATCTTTGTAATCTTTGATTTCTTTTAGAGCCATATAATTTGTTTTAACTAACAGCTGGTTAAATATAAACTATGGAACTATGAGGTTATTTTATTTACTCTTATTTTGATTATAGGAAATAAGTCAGATTAGTAGAAATAATTAGACCACAGTTTAAAATAGTTTGGACCAAAATTAATTAAACCACAGTACAAATCGAGGCTCTGTACACGAGTCTTAATAAAAAAGGATAAATGCAAATTATTTTACTGCTCCACTTTTCAAGGAAAGAATAAAAAAATAACAATGTTTACATGATTTATGAAATTGTGTTCAGTTGTGGTTACGTTTGGGGGTGCCTATATCAGCGCCCCCAAACGTGAAAATATCACTTTTATTTAAACTATGAATATATTGTTGTTTAAATTAACTAATATGGGAAATTACGGTGTACATTTATTCAATGAGGGTGGGTAATTATCAAGGATAGAACTGCTAACGGTATGGATAATAAACATTGACAATTACGTCATTAGCTTTACTAGCGTGTTTACTTTTTATATTCCTGCTACATGTGACCAGTTCTTTTTTTTCAAATGAATGTTATTTGAACCAAACAGCTGTTTCAAAACAAATTGTTATTGTTTTGACTTTTCTTTGTTTAGACTTATTTATTTAGTAATTAATGCAGTGAAATTGATATAAAGGATAGGTGTGACGATTAGTTTTGATGTTAGGACACCAAAGTTAAATTAGGTGTAATGTGAATTTTATTGGAGATTATCGTTTTATTTTAGGTCGTTTCTATTCAGACCTACTGGAAATTGTGTATAGTAAGTTAGTTGTATTGTGGTGATAATAATTATGGAAGAGGCAGGTATGCTATGGAAGGTAGTATCGTCACAGAAAACGTACTACTATACCCAGAATGCCAACCGCATGGTAAAAAGCATTAAGCGGTTTGAGAGAGCTTTGCCTGTCAATCCGTAGGCAGCGCCACCAGCGTTGCCATGCAATAGCATAGCAACGCTGGTGGCGCTGCCTACGGAAGCATAGCAACGCTGGTGGCGCTGCCTACGGATTGACAGGCAAAGCTCTCTCAAACCGCTTAATGCTTTTTACCATGCGGTTGGCATTCTGGGTTATAGTAGTACGTTTTCTGTGGTATCGTTGACTAGGTCTATACACTTCTCAATTGACTATTACCTTTGACTATTGGATACAGAAGTTGTATAAGATAAAGAAGTGTTGTATTAATAGTCAAAGCTATTACTCTCTCTACTGTATGCTACTTATAATCAGTGTGCATCTGTGCGAATCGGCTGCAAATCTCACTTCAACGCTTTTCACATCGTAAAAATTGCAGAATTGCTGTTTTATTGTAAAATTATCGGATTTAAAATGCATAAAAACATATTTGGTCGCACAACATTTGTTTAAAGATGATTTTTCACATTAAAACTGCAAGAAACTTTGTCTTTTTTAAACTAGCTGATCTGAATAAATTGTACATGGTTTTAACTGACTACTGAATTCCCGTACGTAGGACGGGCTAACACCTCGTATTCTTTAAATAGTTTTAAAATTATGGTTATCTGTAAATGCAGTAATGCAGAATTTTGATTGTCATGATTGTCTAGAATTAAAGTAACATAGTAAAATACCCCCGCCACAGCAAACCTGCAGACTAAGCGAATTTCAACTTGTCTGATTACATTTTTACTAAAATATTTCCATACATAAGACATATTTATTCCCAATTTAAATAAAAGATTTAATGAGTGCTTAGGTTTGCTGCTATGGGGAAGGTAAAAAGTGTTTTTTTTTTTTTTGTTATTGGTCGAGTTTCGACCAGGGGGCGAGCTCTAGTAACCCTAATATAATTACAACAGTATAAGATAATATTAACCAATAGTAAATTGACTTCAAAAATTTTTATGGTTGAAACTACTAAATTACAAGAGAAAATGTATGTTTAAACGTAAACCAACAACATGATCAACCTCCTTATCCACTGAATTTTGTTTTGAAGTCTATATACTGAATTATTATGTAGGCCTATTATCAAAATGGTGTAGAACTACTTTTACTAGACAATTGGTTGTTTAGCAATACATACATGTTATGGAAATAGGTACAGGTTCTAGTGTAGTAATACTAGTGCTCAAATATGCATAGTTACAAAACAATAATATCAGCACAGTTGCTACTTAGTCCACTTCATATCACTAGACACACTCCACTGCACTTCAAATGTTTGTTTACTGGTAACCATGGCAACAATTTCAGTGCTGCCACTACTAACATTCCTCTACCTGAAATTCCTCTTTATTTTTCCCCATAACACTTTATTTGTTAGAAAGTTGGTGATACACATTAATTAATTAATTGTATATCTACTTTGTGTACCTAGTGTTTATTATCGTTTTCATGTATATGTATTTATTAAAACCTAAGACTATAAGAGCTAAATAATGATACTTTTGAAACCACCAGGTGCTGAGGTGCCACTGAAGGTGAATGGATGTCGGGCACCTCAGACAGTTACATAATTTTTTAATTTTCTTGTATGGTGTATATTTTTGTAAATGGCAGTTTTATTTGTATATTTTAATAGGTTGGAGATCATATCTGTGTTTTGATTCTCACACTTAAGTCTATACTAGTGTACCTGTTGCTCGAATTCGAGCAATTGCGAAGCATTACAGGCGACTCACGATTATTATGGAAATACTCACGATATACACAACAGTTAGATATAATCCAAATCTTTTGTAAATATCTTATCTTTTCTCAAAAAGCTGATCTTGTTTTTTAGTGTTTCTAAATTTTTTTCCCTCTCATAGCCGCATTAGGTAGTTTATAATAACGATTAAAAATGAAAAAAAATATTTCTTTTCTTCTACTTGGTTGTGTTCTATGACTTTTTCTATGTTTCCAAATATTAACAGCTGTTTCATTAAAAAGTAGTGTAGAATTATGCATATGGTAAACAAATTTGAAGAGGCAACTTTAAAGGCTTCTGGGGCAGAGCCCCTAGGGAATTGACCTCGTTCCTCTTTTGATGGCTCATCTATAGACCAAGACCTTTCTTTAGAGACCCCTACCAAGTTTCTACGCCCAGCCGTTCTCTCAAATTAGCTGGGACAAAAACCCAGTTTTTCCTCCGTAAGAATAACATGGGATGGGAATTCAAAGGCCACTGGGGCATAGCCCCAAGGGAATTTACCACGTTTCTCTTTTGATGGCTCATCTACAGACCAAGACCTTTCTTTAGACACCTCTACCGAGTTTCTACGCCCAGCCGTTTTCTCAATTTAGCTATGACAAAGAAAAACAGTTTCAAATTAATATACAGGGTGATTGATATAAGTGTGCCAGCCGTTTTATTCGCAAACTATAAGAGATATCAAAAAAAATTAAATGGTAAGTGCCTTAGATTTTTTATTTTAAAAATTGTAGTCAAGTCAAAAAAATTATTTTAGCCACCATTTTTCCAATATGGCCGCCAACTTTGATTTTTTTTATGGAACATCCTGTATTTTATGATGTATTTTGGTAGAAAATGTGATTTTAAGACGATTTTATTCTTGTGACTTTTTTCATAAACCTAACCGTTTCAAAGATAATAATGGTTAAAGTTTTGAAATTTTTGCATGAGAAAGAGTTTCGATACAGGCCTAAGCAAGCATGCCAGCTGTTTTATTCGAAAACCATTCAAAATTTCACAACTTAAACCATTATTATCTTTGAAACGGTTAGGTTTATGAAAAAAATCACAAGAATAAAATCGTCTTAAAATTACATTTTCTACCAGAATACATCATAAAATACAGGGTGTTCTATAAGAAAAATCAAAGTTGGCGGCCATATTGGAAAAATGGCGGCTAAAATAATTTTTTCGACTTTACTACAATTTTTAAAATAAAAAGTCCAAGGGACTTACTATTTACCTTTTTTTGATATCTCTTATGGGTTTCGAATAAAACGGCTGGCACACTTATATCAATCACCCTGTATAGATTGTAATTTTCAAAGTAAATATCTTGTAATCTGTCATGAAAACAGTTTCTAAATAAACACTCTGTTAATTTCATCTTGTTCTCTTATTTTTTATGTAATGATGCAAATATTATTTGTAAGCTTACTAATCACATAAAGATGGTTGAGCCAGGCATATGCACAGTCATTACCAATTATTGGTTTTATAAGTGTTGCCATTTTTCCAATAATTGGATTTTCTAATAACCAGTTTCAAGATCATTTCCAACAATTATTTAGCTACCTATATTACCATTATAGTAATGACTGGTTGCGTTTATCCGAATGTAGCCTATATTTCATCCATTTTCATTTTCATTTTCATTTTCAGTAATTTGGGGCCTCTTCAGTCTCTCACAAACCCCTATATTGAGCCATAAGTGAATAATAATTATTGTAGTGTAAGTATAGAATACATAGTGTTCGGATTATAGTTAGTGCTCCATAGATGGTGCAAATTGTGTTAACCCTTTCCACTCCAATTACGGGAGGCCTTTTTTTAGTGTTTTCTCACCAGCTCCATTAAATTTGAGCCAAATTTGCATATTTCATTTGTTTACCAAAATATAAATATTGTCTTAATTTATAGAAGGTAATAATAGGTAATATAGAAGGCTAGTAATCTTTTTAAAAAAAAAAACAAAAAAAAACTATAAAAAATCCAAATACAAGCCCAGTACGTTGTCATAGCGACAGGCGGGCCCAGCCATTGGCGTTTGAGTGGCCATGACGCACGGCGGGGCTCCCCCACCACTTGAGTGGAAAGAGAATTTAACATCAGGATGAAACACCAATAACACCAAAAAAGGTAAATCAATTTTATTTTTAATCATACTGTACCAAAAAAGCTTTTTATTACAACCCTTGCAGGTCTAGGTAGCTCTTTTTCTCCCTAGGGAGTAAAAATCCCTTTTTTCAACTTCCAAGGTCTTTTTTACGTTATCTTTTCCTGCGGTTGCATGAGTGGTGACAGTTAGACCTGGGCGCACCCCCACACAGCGGGGTTTGTGGGGGTGCTATTTACGCCACTGGTGGCATTGTGTTGTAGGGTTGTAGCCTATATAAAAAAAAAAAACATTAAAGATTTATCACAGCAAACAAAAAAAATACCTGCTCACCCAGTAAATTTCTCAGTCCTTGTGTATCAGATTAATTTATTATGGTAATGTGTGAAAGTTAATCATGTACCATTTATCTATGTTCACAGGTTTATTATGAATATGAAAGACAAGCATAGAGCACCCGTCCGGGGTTGGCATATAAGTATAAAATCTGTATTGCAGTTATACTCAAGCTTTGCGTTTGAAATGGGGGAGGACACACATTGATAATATTTGGTGCTTTAAATTTACGATTTGATATAGTATAACACATCTACCATAGCCATTATGTTCTACCACTGTAGGTACCTGAACAATAAAAAAAAAATTATCAAACATTCGTGCAATATCACAAATTATTCATTAAATTAAAAACATAAACATAACCTTACAATCCTACTTTGACTAATGTATAAAAACCTTATTAAACTCTGCAGAATTATTGATTTTCTTTAGATGAAAAAACATAGGAAATGTCTTTATTGACTCATTCTGATTACGGACATTTTGTTCATTAAAGTTCCACATATTTAAGGTGAAACAAAGAGCAGTATTCAATAAAAATGAAAGTAAAGCAAAAAATGTCTAATACATTTTGAATAGTCGTACAAAATTAACCTTTATTTCAGTTACAAGATAAAATAATCCCTTTAAAAAACTTATCATGACCTGGTGGTTCATACTTAGGAAAGAACACAAATTTTCCTCGCGGAGTCAAATAATCAATTTATTAATCAAGCAAAGAAACAATACGACATTTTTAGTGAGATCAACTTCTTTCACCTTTAATTAACAATTTGTTTGAAAATGTCTTTATGTGTCAATAAATAGCCATAAGTATTCAGTTCTATTTACACTAAAAATGTTATAACATCAGTTTATAAAATACATTTTTTACATTAAAATAAATTAATTTGTACAAGAGACAAAAATAAATTATTAAAAGCTATACTACACTAATTATTGATTCACACTATGTTATTCATAAAGTTCAAAGTTATTGTTCACAAAGTTAAAAAATATATAGTTGGCAATATTATTTTTTATGTCAATATTATTTTTTGAGCTAAAATGTGTACCAAAATTTACTTTGAACACATTGACAGAATTCACAATTTCATGATTTGATATTAAACTTGTTTACTTAATTTTGTTTATAGCTCTCCTAAGGCTTTCCAGTTCATGTTAAGTGCACTATGAAAGCATTTCAATAGACAAAATCTCATACTTCACATGGTAAAATTTGTACCTATGAATCAAAACAATCAGTACTTATTTAAGTTTCACAGTCATAGAGTACTATCAGTTTTTCTTTTGTTTCTTTACGCTTTCGTCGATACTGTTGCTTTCTTCAACTGTTTCATCAATGTCTTCGGGAGTTGTTACGAGTTCTGCTGATTCTGTGAACTCTGAGAGGTCAGGATCCTCGGTGGTCGTGGTGGGGGTAAGGGTCTCCGTGATGGCGGGGGGACTTGAAGATGACGAGACGGGGACACTCACGCTGGCCGAGTCTTCAGGGCAAGCGGAATACATGATCTCTATGTCATCTAGAGCTATGGTGCCATAGGTCGCGCCGTCCTCGAACTGGGAGTAGAATATCAACTGTTGGCAGAGTTGAAGGTTTTAGATAACACGCCATTTTGATTTTTTTAGGTTAGGGATGTAAGACAGAGCACAAGGTCTTAGGTATTAAGGATGATTTTAAGACAACACAATTACCTAAAATGGAAAAAGGCCACTCTTGCAGACCTCCTTCCAACTCAAACCCTCCTTGGTTGAAAATGCTAACAGTGACAGTGAAATACTTGAATTCTTATATTGTGTAGTATAAAGTTTTTTGTGTTTATCCAGATTATAAAATAAATTAACTTAAGTGTATTAATAACAGTACCTTGAATGGTCTAGTGATGTATATAGGAACGTCCACATGCACCCACTCGTTGGCTACTGTGTCGTTAAGCCAGAGGTCAAAGGTCTTCTCATTGTCGTAAGTCAACTGAGTCACCTTGTCCAGGTATGCATGCAGCAGCTGCAGCAAATTTACAGTTAGAAAATTTTTCAATTATAATAATTTTATATAGGCCTAAATCTGTTATTAGATGATTCTTTGGATTGATTCCCTTCTAATCTGAAGTGGCTAATTGGGATTCCATAAGTATGTTACCTTTAGTACTAAGCCTTAACATTGTTTTCAGTAGCTGTTTTTCCCCTACTGAAATCTTACATCTTCCAAATACATATACGCAAAAAACACTTGAGATTTTTACTAACTTTAACTCTCATTCTTTCCGAATTAGTTTTTAAAATGTCTAACATCAAAAAGTCCCCTAGCTTGTTTTAGGTTAATTTGGAATCAAATAATCCAACAAATTACATTGTCTCAAATTTAATAATGCTTGCCTTCAAAGCCGAGCGTTGGTGGTAAAATCTTGACCAGGATCAGTTTTGGACCCAGATGCCATTGTCATCCGACTACTCTAATTAATGATGCTATATCTAACAAATGGTTGACTTTAGTGTGTAACAGAGTTTGGACTGTTCCCTCGGAAAAAGCGTAAAAAATGCCAATGGTGTAGTTAAGTACAAATGAAACAACAAAGCCTTGGCCTTCTCTAACACCACTACAGTTAATTGTTGGAGACAATGGTAAAGACCAGTGTCTAGATAGTTGTCTTACAAAGAACAATTATCAAACTATCCCCAAAACACATCTGGCATTTCACTCAATATCAATCATCCTGTTAGTACCTTGAGACTAGCGTTGCCATCGCCCTGTAGGAGGTACCAGAAGCGGACACAGCCCAGAGGCCCTCTCGTGGTGTCCTTGTCACTAATGGCATGTAGGTTGATGGACATGAAGTAACCGGGAGTCACACCAGCCTGGTCATACGAACTGTACACGTAACCATCTATAAACACGGTTACGTTACAGTCACTATTATGTCACTGTCCCTAAGAATTGAATTGAATGAGATAAGGACGCTGATAGGAGGTATTATAACCAAAATAAATGGAAGATAAGTGAGGTGCTTTGTACACCTTTGTTACTGACATTTCTTTAAAACCCAATGATCAAGGATAGATGGGCGCAGTTTTAAAACATCAACAATGAAATCAACTTAAACCAAATCTCAATTTATTGTCTAATCTTATCAAGGACAGATTACACTGATAGTAATACAAGAAAATAATACGAAGTATAGCAAAAGTGATGAAAATTATGTTTTCATCATAATGTCCAGAAAACAGCCATTTTTAGTTCTCTAAATCGTCTGCGAAATCATCGTTTTCGGGTATATTCAAATAGGGAAAATAAAACCATATCGCACATTTTTCAGTTCGCTAACATGAAAACTTTCTTTGACACATTATAAAATTATAAAAAAAGCTACTTATCACACGATATTTTAAGTTATGTTTGTAAACAACATGAATGAAAACATTGATGACAAGGTTGTATAACCTCAAATTATGTGGACTAATTTTTTTTAGGATTAGAAGGTTATTTCCACAGTCTCGTATGATGAAAATAGTTGTTCAACACTTGGAGCGATAGTGTCTTTTTGGTACTTAATCAAATGTCCAAGCTCAGCTGCGCCTCGCTCTTAAACACGATTGCGTACCTAAAATAACCACTTTCGCTCCTAGTGATGAAAACCACAATTAAATATTGACAATTTTCAAAATACAGATTTTCGGATTATTTTTATAATTTTATATCCCGTTGAATGTGTACGAATCTGGTTGTTAAGAATCAGACATGGAATGCTGCCAAAAACTCACTTAAAGCCACTTGAATAAAGAAAATCTGAAAATTAGAAGATGTACAATACTTACCTGTTGCATTTACTGTCCTCCAATTCCACACGGCAGATCCACCGTTCTTAAAGCCACAAGTGTGTTGGTTGAAATCACAGGAAATGTCATATGGAAAACTTAGCTTTTGCTTATTGCCTGTAACATAAGTTTTAATAATGACAACAGATCCCGAAAATGGAATGTCCATCATTATTGTGACAATGAGAGAAAAAATTGTTTTCTGTATGTATAGTATAAGATTATATCTGGTAACAATTTGGTGTTGCACTTGCTCAATTGATGAGTTGTTAGTGATTTATCTAAAACAAAAAACATTCTAAAGAGTATGTCATTTGCTACTTAATTAATTATTAGTTATTGAAAAAGTACAAAAATTTAATATACTAGTGGCCTGTAGGGGCCATAGCCCCTAATTTAGACTACAATAAAAAAACCATATACTGTATAAAAAGACAAATATTCTAAATTAATATGTTTCTAAAATTATCAATTTTATGTTACTTAAAATTAACAGTGTTTCTTGTTTTATATCTTGGTTTTCCTTCCTTTGGAGTCATATATTATTTGCTTCTAATGTGTCAATGAAATAGCCTACAATTGTAAAATAATGATTAAATCAATAACACAACATATTACAAATGGAAACGTGCACACGGTTGGCCTGAGCCCGGAGAGCGACGAATCAGAGCTGAAACCATACAGCTAAACACATTACACATCTTTTCTAGTTTAAAATTGAAGATTTGTTTTGTAATCTTACGAATTCTGTTATAGTTTCCATTTTGAGAACCAAACGTAACTATGGTTAAAATTATTATTAATTATTATGAAGGCAACTCCCCATTTGGTGGTGGTAAGTCAGAAATATATCTATGAATTTGTCCCTGAATTGACAGCAAGGCCCATTTCCCGGAATCTCTTTTTGTGTAGCGGAAAGCGACGCAATAGCCATTGCGCTGTTGTATTGCCTTATGTTTTTTTATGAAGTTCGAATCATGTAAAAACAGTTAGTTTGTCATTTACTTGTGGTTGTGGCATGTCCATTGTGGCAACATGCGTTGAAATGTCTATTTGTGGCCTCCTCTGCGAAGTGAAATGCGCCACAATCCCACAATGCATGCAAGTGCTTTAAGAGGACCTAGATTGTGAGAAACAACTCAACTCATTTTCCAGCATTTTTCTAAAGACAGGTTGTAAAACAGCTTCTGGATTTCTTTCACAGTTAGGCCCTAAATGACGTTCTCTTTTGCATTTCTTAAGTCTGTTGAATTCCTGGACACTCTTCCACGTCTTGCAGGTCTTCCCCTACCCTGTCTAGTAACGTCACTCATTATAACACAGTTCATTTTGAAACATTATTTACCAACATTGACTTTCGGAATAAATGTAAACATTGCAAATAAATAAGTAACAGCTGATAGAATGCAGGCGTTTTTCAGTCCCCATGCATTTCTTATGGTGGATATTTTATGTTATATCTCGTCTTCTGGTAACTTTATGGAAATTTTATATTTTTCCCGAGTCCCTGGGGCCAAGACATTTAATTTAAGACCCCTCCCACTTCTCTGCGACTTACCAGACGTCCACAATTTTCTGGTAAAAATTTGGTCTTAAATTAGAATTATATATATAGATATGTTTTTGATAAATTGTAATTCAAAGATATGATATATTACAAGTTGTGTTTTCTTGCATATTATACTATTATACAAAGGTATCTAATGTCTGAACCAATAATTGAAATCTCTAAACAATTTCATGTCTAAACTTCACTAACCATTGCACTTGTAGAGTTTGTGAACTCGTCGAATGTCACTAGCACTGAGACCTCGTTTTTTCCAAATAGGACCAATTTCCTCTCCAGTCTTAGCTTGCAAAGTTGGTGAAATTCCATCCTGAAAAAAGAAAAAAAATACATAGTAGCAAACATTTTTTTGTTGCTTCTGTTCTAGAGTTGCATTTGCATATTACCTTACGTACATTTCGCCAGATCGTGTGGCAACTTCAAGGGATCTTCTTATACCATCTTCTTCTATATAAATAAAATTAGAGTTTTGTCTGTGCATTGCTAAGAATTATATATTTTTAGGTTATTTTTACGTTTTATATATTAAAGAAGCAGAAACAAGTCTTATCTCTATTTCTGTCTGTCTGTCTGTCTGTCTTTCTGTCTGTCTGTAACACTCAAGATGGCATTTTACGCAATCTTCTCCGTGAAAACGAGAGTACCTATCAAGATCCAAGTCATTTTAATGTGTTCACTGGATTGGCGAGAGTGTCTTTCTTTAGCGATTAAAATATGGCCTCACTACTTTGTAAATAAAATTACGGACGTTCAAAAATGCAGTTTTTTGCGATTTTTATCAAATTTTTGTTTAATTTTTATCACATAATCGTCTATGAAATAACGTGTTGACTTTTCAGGTATAACTTTCCTTAAGGGCAGGCGGATGCTTTGATACTTGATACTTTATTTTATACTTTTTTATCTGGTTTTTGGTGATGGTGAAATGGTCAAAGGTTGAAGGTGTAATTTTAAGCCAAATATGAATGGAGATTATGGTAGGACAAGTGGCACCTTTATCTTTGAAGTGTTGCTGGTTTGTTGCTGTTTTTCCAGTTTTGTCAGTTTCAATGTTGTAGAGTAATTTGAAAATTTTAGAGTTAGTGTAGTCCTCTGTTCTGGAAGATGTTCGATCCATTAATATTTAGGCTACATACTATACTTCCGATCCAACCACAACTGATAATAAGTAAACTATTTTAATGTAATTCAAGTTGAGATACCTCCAAAAAATTGAAGAGAAATACAAACAAAGTTAAAACTGCTAACTAAAGAATACAGTTCAGCTTGCTTCTTGGATAAAATTTACAGTTGAAGGGCTTTTTGATTACAATATATTAAAGTTTTTTTAGAAGATTCAACCAGAAAAGGTAATGAATTGGCGTTCAACAGACATAATTTATCGGTTTATGAAAAAATCCCATCTTATAGTGGTGTTAAATATTGCAATAGCTTACCTGACGATATAAAAAATATAAGTAATTTTAATTCATTTAAAAAACGTTTGAAATTATTTCTCACCAACAGACCCTTGTATAAATTAGAAGATTTTTTCCAACTTCCTGAAATTTGATTTTATGATAATAACAATATTCTTTGTAAGTAGTCTTAAGTTTGATATTGTGTTTTTATAACTGACTCCATTCTGTAAAAATGTGCAATATGAATAAAGTTATTTTGATTGATTGATTGATTGACAATAAAAAGTTACATTAGTATAACATTGGTCATATTCAATCCTTATTACCTCTTTAGAGAGTTGACTGATACAAAATTTAAGTTGAAATAGAAATTTCAACTGAAATTTCTCACCAATCTACTCTAATTTTCTCTTTACGACAATCTGAAACTTGTCCTGTCCAAAAAAAATCTTAACCAGCAACTTTCTTTTCCTTAAAACATAACATCAATCCTATTCTATTTAACAAATAGTAAATTTATGCAAGTTACAGAACGAACTCCATACACTTATTTTTTAGTAACCAAATTAAAGCAGGATGGTTAAACCAACAATTAATATTTCATGAGGAATTGATTCCTTACCTTAGAGAAGGCGTATTCATCATACATCATGATGGAGCGATAGTCAAATCGCTCTCCTAGAGAATCGACCGTCCGGGCGTCATGTTTGGCAAAAGAAGATGAAAACCCCTGAGAAAAGTATTGATAGAATAATAAATAATGAAATTAGAGAAATCTTACATATTCTTCAAGTTATTAAAACCTGTTGTGTGTACTTACTGAAGAGAAATTGATCAAAAATTAAATTACATATATAACATTGAAATCAGTCACTGATGAGTAGACTCTAATATCAAGCCAATGCCAAATAATTAATAAATACACAAAAGAGTGTTAGAGTGTAGAGGTTTTGGTGTAATTAGTTTGACAGAGTCAGTTGGTTGGAAAAGTTTCTAGGCTAACAATGATAATTATTAAGTAGGCCAGTGCCATAAGATTAGATGGTGTAGTATGGTGTTTTAGAAAATCCATTCCATTGGCAGTGCTGGATCATTGAACATTTTTAGTCCTTTAGTTTTGGATCGTGATAAAATCTATAAGGAGTCAAAATTATTTTTTGATATGAGGTTAATTTATTTACCTTGATTTTGACTTGAATACCTCCTAAGTGTGTCTTTTTCGAGTTTAGGTTTTTATCTCAATTATTACTATCGATTTTCCGGACTTCTCAACCCAAGATAACTTAAAACAACTTAATATAAAATAACCAAAACTTTTGCTATGGAGCTGTAATTTTTTGTATTTTGTAATGACTGGTTGATAATTAAGTTTTTGTAACATTTTAAATTTTTTCCGAGAATATAATACTTTTCCAAAGATGAACCCCCCTTGTTATTGGACCCTTGACATAAACAGTTGTTCTTAAGATTGCTTCCAAAACTTGTTTACGATTTACAAAATATCAAACACTAATAAGACATTTATATTACAAGTTTTTAAATAATTCCACTTACTTGAATGATATTCTTCCAGTAGACGTATATCCAGTCATCTCTGTCAGGCCGATTCATCTCGTGCCAGAAGCCGATGGCGTGCCCGAGCTCGTGGACCACAATGCCGAGATACCAGCAGCGTTGACCAAGCGACAGGCGCTGCACACCATTACCCGTGCGACCAACGGGCGACCAGCAAGCACCACTGAGAGAAAATCAACTCAATTAACATATTTACTTGTAACTTGAAGAAAGAAAAATATTCCTTAGAAATGCTTGACTTCTAGAATTTATTTCTCCGTTATTTGATAAAAACTATTTGTGCAAGAATCTTAATTTATATTCGCTTTTATGATCAAACTGTCCCTGATCACTGGTCCTGGATAAAGTAACCTGCTAATCTAAGTCAGTAAAAGAGCTATTATTTAGATCATTCAACACTAATTCTTCAGTCATTTTCTTGTCTTAAAATATACAACCTGGTATAATTTAATGTAACATGATTGACAATTCCCCCTATGATGTCTAAGTTATATGAAAGATTACTGCGGACATATTCCATTACAATCAGTTTTCCAAAACTTTCATATTTTGGGATCTGGAATGTGATTCGGGGAAAAAGTACCTAAATGATGAAAGTACAAGATATGATAAATGGTCATACAATAATTATAAGGAACGTTTGATTTGGTTATTTACACAAAACCAGACAAAGCTAGAACATCACAAAAAAACACAAAACTTTGTTTTCATCATAGGCTACTGTCCGGGAGCAGCAGTTTTTATTTCTCTCAATCGTCAGCAGAATCATCTTTTTCGGGTAACTTAAAATTTCAAAATAGAGAACAAAAAATACATATGGTAAATTTTTCTGTTCGCTAACCTCAAAATTTCAGTGCATTATAAAAATGCTGCTAATCACACAATATTTAAAGTTGTGTTTGTAAACAATAGAAATTTAAACATGGAGGATGTCTTTGTATAACCTAAAAGTATGTGTTCTAATTTTGTGACGATTGGGAGGTTGTTTCCACAGTATGATGAAAATAGTTGTTCATCATAATCGTATTTCCAAGCAAGGTACCGATTGCGTACCGAAAAGAGACACTTTAGCTCCTAGTGATGATAACTACTATTTTTATAACAGTGTAAGGAAATATAGCCAATAATCCTATACAAAAACATATACTCACTCATACAATCACCAAATATTTACAAAGGATAATGTATCATCCAGAACCAAAAGCAACCTTGGAAGTTCACGGCTTTTAATGCAAAAACTATTTTTAGAATCTAAAACCCACATGAAAAATGTGTTATTGATGTGTCATAGGATATATATAATGCATGTTAAAATCAAACATTCAATAATTTGACTGTTTAAAGACCTGTCAGAGTTAAAGAATATGTCTACGTAGTTGGGCTCGCCAGTCCACTCCTTGAACCTGATGCAGGACCTGGCGTGGTAGTGGTTCATGGCCCTCATCAGGATCTCACATTGCGGGGAGTCCGGGCAACCTGGACCACAATACAGGCTAAAGTTAAGAGATTGCTATTCATAAGTTTTATTTGAGTGTGAATTTGTTTCACCCCTGAGAAAATATCAGGGCTTTAAAGGTGCATTGTCCCTGAAGCGACTCTTGCGATAGTAGCTGAGCGACAGTAGCTCAGCGATAGTAGCTCAGCGATAGTAGCTCAGCGATAGTAGCTAACCATGTCATTGTCCCTGAAGCGATTGTTCTAGAGAGATTTTGTTTATTTTGCTGACTTTTCGAGTGAATTGGTGCTATGAGTGCCATGACACCAGCTAATTTTAAAACGTTTTTATTAGCTCACTTTCTTGTCCAGTAAAAACATTGCAATCAATAACTAACTTCCTGATGAGCTAGAGAATTGAAACTTGAAACATAGCTCACAAATAGATGACAATGCAATATTATATAATTTAATTTTCATATTTTACTTGGGCTAAGCCCCATGGGCAACAGCTTTTCATTTTCTTCAGGGGTAGAAAGCAGTTTTGTATTCTTTGAAGACATTACGACCAATAAACAAGTCTACACACAACACAAATCGCTCAGCGACTGCGACTCTGACTGCCCTCAGAGCAGACCCGCTACAGTCGCTGTGTTCAGCCGCTAGCCGCTCCAGTCGCAGTCGCGTCAAGGACAATGGTCCCATTTGAAACAACGCTAACCAGTGCTCAACTACTATCGCTGAGCTACTATCGCTCAGCTACTATCGCAAGAGTCGCTTCAGGGACAATGCACCTTAACAGGTAGAAATATCAACTAAGTTATGTCTGACTTATAACTATAATTAATGTACATCAAATTAAGAAAGATATAATTTCTTACAAAGTTCTATGTTGGAGACTCAAAACAAAACATTACACACCTTTACAAGTATTATAAAATAAGTTTCAGATGAATATTGAATTGTTAACTAAAATTCATTACATACCAACATCATCACTAGTCTTGTATATTATGGCTGCTGAGGGCCACAGTAGGTTTGGGTTGGACACTGCATTTCTTCCCATGGCCTGAAACAGAGATATCTAATCTAAATCTCACCTTATTTTTACGTGTGTTTAAAGTACAAAGAATGAAAATATTTTTCCATCTAAAACAGATAGTTCTAAAAAACACCCCCCTAAAACATTGCAACTTTGCTAGTCCCCATCAAGCTAAGTCACTCTGTGACTTAATATTAGCGGTCATTGATGCTCTGCTATTTCCCCGTGACCACTCTCCTCCAGAAAGAACATATAAATGTGCGGGGACGGAGCTTCATGTGTTTTTAAAACTAGAAGGGATCGAAAACCAACACTGACAGAAGAAGAAAACAAATTTGAGTTTGCCACAACGAAGGCGGAGAAAGACAAATTGTTTAATTTTGTGCTCAGTGTCCCATGAAGCCCTCACTTGGCCCAGAGGGTGTGTGTATTTTACAAGGTTCTACGCCTAAACTACATGAGATAATGTTGTGTGGTTGGTGGAGGTATGTACATATTTGTTAAATAACTTACTTATAAGTGTAATGATATTTAGAATAAATTGCATAGCAAAAAGTGTCGGGTCTGACAAAATTTGTTATGTTATATGGTAGGTGAGTGGTTATACTACTGGCGTAACAATCAACCATTTGCCAATTTGATCCTGAGAAAAATGTGTAACTTTTTGATGGTCCGAAACTGGGCCCAGCTGCTCCTTCCTGATCATTGGGCTTAAAATACACCCGCCGCAGAAAACCTGCCGACTAAGCGCTTTTCCATTTGTCTGAATTGATTTTCAATCAAATCTATTTAAATAAAATTATGTTTAACGAGTACCTAGATTTGCTGCTACAAGGAAACTAATAGTGTTTTTTTAGTAAAATATTAATAGCTTAGTATAAAACAAATAAATTTGCCAAGTTTGATCAAAATATATTTATAAACAGGCAAACTACAACATTTTACAATATTCTCCATAAGAATAACATGGTAAAGTTAAATTTAAAAATTTTTGAATTTTTTCAGTTACCAATTACTGTACAAAAACACTTTGCCGTAGTAAATTATTTGTTTTTTAAGCTCTTTAAAAATGTCTAAAGAAAATTGGGAAATTTTGTGTTATGGGGGTAAAAATGAGAAAAACCATTTTTTACCCCATAAAACCCCCTGTAAAACCCCGTTCCCAAGGTCCGATCATGCTAGTTTGCGAACTCATTCAATTTTATCCTGCCTTTAAACTAAATTATATATAATTGGACGTATATAAAAATTGATATCTATAAAAATAAAATTAGAGTTTTGTCTGTATATTGCTCAAAATTGTATATTTTTTGGTTATTTTTACGTTTTATAAATTAAAGAATCAGGATTCAAATAGTCTTTTTGTATTCACTGGATTGGCGAGAGTGTCTTTAGCCATTAAAATATGACATCACCACTTTTGAAATAAAATAACAGACATTCAAAAACCCAAATTTGTGGGTCTTTTTTCAAGTTTTCTCTTAATGTTTACCACATACGTTGTTTATGAAATACTCATCTGTTTGGAGAATACGACATCTATGAAGTAACAAACAGATGTTTGGATAAAGATTATTTTTTCTAACTGTCACTGGATATGTTTACATTAAATGTTGTTTACAAATACTGCAAGTGTTTCCAATCACGTATTGTAAGAAAATCCAAAACCAAGTGAGATCCAAAACGTTGTGCCTTACATAACGGATTTTATTAATCACAAGAAGTGCAATAATGTGTAACTGTAAATTAAATTAAATTTCTAGGCATCATTCAGGTCGCTAACCGGAGATTATGTGTGTGTATCAAATTGTACTTGAGTTTTGATAACCGGGAAACAGATCCTGAAACAGTGCTGTATACGGAGTTTTGCCTGCATATATGGAAAAATGCATATAAATATGCAAACCAACTGCTGTTCTCAATATAAGAAGGTTTCAACTGACTACATGGTCCCGTCCGTAGAACACACAGCTAGTATATATAAATACATATATAAAAATGTGAACCAATGGTGATTTTGGCCTCTGGGAACATCAAAATGAAAAAGTAAATCGGTCCCGGTCCTAGGTCTTACCGTGCCACCTACGGTAATAGCTACTTCCCTATAGGGAAATTCACTAATAGATTATCCTGGCAAAAGAAACAGCTGATCTTAGTCAGTAACAAAGCTACCCGTATCACCACAATTAATTCTCCACTCATCCTTCACTCATATTTGGGTAAAATACACACCTAGGTGGCGTCCCCATCTTAATCGGTAAAAATAAGCAGTCTGTGTCAAGCAAACTTTAATTGAAGGAAGATTCATTAAATTTTTTAAATTTAAAATTGGGTTTAAAATAAACATTGAACTGCCAAAGAACAGAGGATGTAGAAACATCTAAATTACAAATTTAACTGGTCATTGTTAAAAGAACTAGTACCTGGTCTTGGGGAGTAACAAAGCATTCAACATTCATGGTTCACTCACCTTCTTTTTAAATATGCACCCTGGTGTGACACCCTTGTACAAATATAGTGTAATCTTGTATACTTATAGACAAAGTTTGAACCTATCAATGAATCTAGTTCCTGATTAATGATTAGTTCCTAAACTCTATTTTGAATCATTTTAACCGGATTACCTTAGCCTCATCAGCCTTGGGCGGGACAATGTCGCCCTCCAAGAAGCCCTCGTTGTAGAGGCCACGGTCGGTGCCAGGGCCGATGGGCCGATGTTTGCCCTTGATGGGTGTCCCGGCCCGGGGGTCTTTCAGCACCTGAGTCACGTTCTCCATGATTGGATAACCTACGGCCAGAGTGGCAAGGCAGAGGGCGTAGCTCACAAGCCATACTGACATCTGTAACATAATTAGGATGCAAGGATTAATTCAAATGAAAAATCAGGGCCAGAGGAGATAGACACTTTACTTAGGATGTTGGCAAAGAGTAGGTAAGAGCCACACTACTGTTTTTTAAACAAAGCAGACAGCTTTTAATGTATATATTTAACGTTCGCATTAGTTAGTACTACAACCATCCGCAGTCGCCATTTGAATTAATAAGTATTAAAAGTATTTAAGTATGTAAATAATGAATATGTATTGTCTATTGTCTATTCACTATTATATCCAGAAGTGTTAGATGAGGTTGGACTTTTTGACAGTTTTGACTTCTTTTTACAGTTTTCTTGTAGGAGAATACAAAAACCTAACTATTTTGGGAAGGATTATTGAATTATGATTATAACTAGATGATTATAAGATGACTAACTAATAACGAAATAAGACAGGACGGACTCACCGTGATGCTAGGAGTTGATTCTGTGACAGGCAACGGTACTGGCGTGGATCTTCGTTCCTCTCACTATTTATGCGTTCCCAGGAGCACATGGCTTAGCACGAGCAATTGTTTCAACACATAATTTGTGTCACCTATTTACATACTGATTTGGCATTTGTTATTCCAGAGATTCCATCTAAGTTTTATGTTTTACTGGTTAAGGCCGGAAAGGAAAGTTGCAAATTCAGAGATGTGTTTCCGAAGTTGTTTCAGTAAATTTGGTAAGATTATGTTTTAGGTCATTCACCTACCATTTTTCATTTAAAATCTTTATCATTCAATTACGTTGGATCCTTTTAAACTTTGTTTTTCCATTATTGATTCAGAATCGATCAAATTTATGTTTTATATAGAAAAGTAGTCTATTGTATTTGTCAATTGTTTATGAAAGCTGGGTTATCAAGTGTAGTTTACAAATGCAAAAAAATCTTGCCATTAAGTTATTATATCAACTTTTACAATCCTTGATCCTTTTGTTCTGACAAAAAAGCACAAACTTCGCTGTTAATGAACCGTTCATGTTTATCACTTTATAAATACCTAAAATAGCAGCTCCTAGTTTTTAATTATGTTTTTTTTTGTGTGAATTGTCTTCATTAACTTTTTAAATAAGCTTTGCCTGAAGAACCATTCTAATTTTTTTTACATTTACTACCATTTAAAGGCCTAAACACGTTATAAAAAAATCTTTATTCATATTAGGTATAATCATAGACAAAAAGAATTAAATATAGACCATCAGCTGTGCTGCGGTTACCATAGCTTCTGGCGCACACCGCTTGGAGCGCCATGTAGTTACGACGTACGCGCTACGTAAACTACAGTGGTGTGCGCCGGAACCTATGGTAACCATGGTAACCGCAGCACGGCTGACTGTCTATATTTAATTCTTTTTGTCTATGGTATAATCTAATAGAACAATTATTAATTAATATAAATTAAAAATCTAATCAAATTATAATGAAAACTAATTTGTGTAATATATGCAACTAAAAAGAAAAACACACATACACTGTTGACCATCTCCTCTAATTGTCATCAGGGCATAATGTTAACTTGTGTGGTGGTCTGAAACTAAATATAAAGGTGGTTTCACTGTCCATATCACTAATAACTGAATTTTCCATTAGAAATTCCATGACAAAGTGAATATAAGACAAGGAAATAAATGGAAAGGTACTTACTTGGTGCAGTGCTACTTAATGATTTACGTCTTACACAGAGAAAACAGAGCAATCAAATGTAATTTGACATCAATTTGTAGGCAGTCAAACATAGTCAATATAGAAAAGAGAGGGGGTACTTACAACTTCAAAAAATGTTATTTGCTTTGAAAATCAAATAATATGATCATTGATCACTGTAATTTGTTGTAGCAAGAAGTTCTTTACAGTGAGTGATCAATATTTGAGGGTGTTATAGATAAGCATTTTATGCATAAATCTCAAGACTCACATATTTAAGTTTTATATATTTTTTGTCTTTCATATCTTCTGAATTTTTGAAAATCAGTTTCTAATATTAAATTGGTAGTATCGTTATAGCAATTTGATTAATGGAGAGAGGTCTTTTACACAGGGACAGTTGTACTTGCATAGGAGTTTGTTTTCTAGGTGGACTTACAGATTCCACCAACACATTGCACTCAATGTATATTACATATTTATGTTAGTATGCCAAACTTTATGAAAATTCAAACTAATAGTATGTCTTATTTTAAGCCATAGCATCTTTTGTGTTTACAGCTTTACTCATAAGAACATATCCCTTGTTTTGTACCATAACAAAACGAGGTATAACACTGAGGCTTGGTCATTGACCCTGCATTGTGTGATTAGTTCAGTGACCCTCAGTGTTTGTGGGGCTTTGGAACATTATTTTCAAAATATCTCAAAAACACTGACTTGCGATTATATTGAAAAGCTTCCTTATAAATAGGTGACAGTGTATGTACTAGAAATTTAAAATAATATATTCACAAAGTTAATAGACAATTTATTTAGATTTTAAGAGAGCCTTTATTGTGTTTCATAAAATTTATCACTAAATGAATGTCCGGTCCTAAAAAAGTGGACGGTCAAAAATGAATACACTATTGTTGCATCAGTTTTAATACGAGCAAAACTGTATTAGCAACTGTAACATAACTGTATTGGTTTAGTGAGTTGGTGGCTCAGTCGGTAGCGTCGCGGACTTCAGGCCCAGGGCAGCGATGTCTTGGGTTCGGATCCTGGTCACTGCCGAAAACACTTTATCAGTACAGATCACCTTTGTACTGTACCGGCTCACTTGCTTTGCTGTATACGATCCACGCACGGGTGGTTAGTCTATGTGGATGAGCAAATGCAAGGTTAAAAGAGGCCACAAAATTAGCTAAGTTAAAAAATTAGCTAGTTAAAATGCATAACCTTTTATACTACTTATTTTCTAAAATCTCTTTTTAATCTGTAAATAAATTGCTTTAATGTGTAACGCAAAACCTGTTAGGCTATAATTGAAAAAAATCTATTTATCATTACTGAAGTAGTTAAATTTTACTAAGAGAAAGTTTGTTTTTATTTTAACGGAAACATAGTCAGAGACTAGTCATTGTGACGCTGCCTGAAGCTGTCATGTTCTTGTCTTGACACGTCACCCACAAACACGTGAGTTTATTCCAGTGAATTTTACAGAATGTTATCTAAGTTTTCCATTTGAAACCTTGGCATCAATAGAAAGTCATTATGCATTTTGTCTGTAATCCCTTTTGTACTTGGATTGATAAATGATATAATTAGAATATTTTTCTCGTTTTCCCTCAGCTTATGAAGACAGAAATGGATCCGATTTAAAAAAGTATGTTTCATAACAAGAGTAGAAAGTGAGTCATTACATAAAATCTCACATTTTAAATGGGCAAGAATATAGACCCACTTTCACTTGTGTTTTGAACGTTACTTTTCGCTACACTGCAAAGACTAATTATTTTTTCAATTAAAACAGACACTGGATATTTCTTCATTTTGATTAGGAACATCACAAAACGCATAGCACTTTTATGTTATGCCTCAATTTAAAGTCAATATTTACATTGGTTGTTGATAATTTGAAACAGTTGACAAAACAATGACAAATCTTTGTTTGTTTACGTCGGCAAAATCCAAAAAAGATAGTAAACATTACTTTTGCATAGTAAACATTCTTTTGTCGTAGTAAACAATCTCATTATGCATTTTCGCATGTGATATACATGTAACGAAAACAGGTTATTTCATTTCACAGTAGTGTAGTGAAAATATGTTCTGTGAAATGACCTGTTTTCGTTGCTTGTTTATCATCTGCAAAATCTATCATTTCATTGTTTACTACGACAAAAGAATATTTACTATGCAAAAGTAATGTTTACTATCTTTTTTTGGATTGCACCAACGTGAACAAACAAATATTTGTTATTGTTTTATCAACTGTTAAAATTTTCAACAACTAAAATAAATATTAACCTTAAATTGAAGGCATATCCTAAAAAATGCTAGGAATTTTGTAATGAAGAAATTAAATATTCTTTGTATTGTAGTGAAAAGTAACGTTCAAAACACGAGTGAAAGTGCATACATATTCTCAATGAAATATACTACGATTGTTATGAAATATACTATTTCAGTGAGGATTGAGAAAAGTAGTAAAATGTGTTCTTCGTACTGGTTGGCGTATAAGTTTTCAGCCCAATCCAACCAGTAGTTAATGCATGATTGAACTTCAAACAAACAAACAAACAAATACACAAACTTTCACATTTATAATATTAGTAAGATAAGATAAGATAAAATAAGATAGATATTGTACAGTTCATGAATAAAGTTATACATTTTATGAATCAATATGATACATTAAAGTATCAATATGATCAAAATGTTATGTGGTTTTTTATTACATAACGAACGAATTCCCTGAAATGAGTAAAGCATTTTTAAGGTAACTGAGATTTATTGATACAAAACAAAGACTTTTAAATTAAGGTACTTTAAATGTAGATACGGTATTGTTGTATACTGTACTGTATATACGAAAAATTCCAGATACGCTACTGAAGAAAGCAATTTTTATACCACAGTAATAACTTCAAAGTAAAGCATGTTTAATCCTGATCATGCGTCAATCTGATTTGCATGCAAACAATTGCAATCAATCGATTACAACATGGCTTTCAGTGGCGAGAAAGTGAGAACACTCATTAATGCAGCAGCACAAACTTGACTCTAAATTCAGGACATCATTGACGCAGTTGGAAAAGGAGGCTTTTAAAAATATTCCTGGCCTGACTAATGAAACAGCTGGTCTCAGACAATAACAAAGCTATACAAGGCGTCTCACCTCAC